TGTGTGTGTTTGTGTATGTGTGTGCGTGTGTGCAAAGAGATAGACAAAGACATAGAGAGATATGAAGAAAAGGGAAAGAAATCCAAGAGAACATAAAAAAGCTACTGGAGGGGCTGGGAAGGTGGCTCAGTGGTAGAGCGCTTGCCTTGCATCATGAGGCCCTGGGTTCGATTCCTCAGCACCACATAAGCAAAAAGAAAAAAGCCAGAAGTGGTGCTGTGGCTCAAGTGGTAGAGTGCTAGCCTTGAGCTGAAGAGCTGAAGGACAGTGCTCAGGCCCAGAGTTCAGGCCCCATGATCGGACCAAAAAAAAAAAAAAAAAGCTACTGAAAATTGGTACGGTGGCCTTGGTACCACAGGAAGTGACTCTGTATTTCATCTTCCTAGAGTGTTTTGATTCAGGGGATTTCTTTGTTTTCAGCCAAGACCGTATGTTCAGTGATAACTGTTATCGAATTCTTAGGCTCTGGAAGGTTTCCTGTCTAAATACAGACTGTAAAGCTCAGGTTCGACTGTCAGCACTTTTGGTTCTGAAAGTATGTCAGCCACGGGGGTGTTCAGGTGGCAGCTAAGGTGACCGCTGGACACTGCCCACATCCAGACTCATGAATATGTACAGTGACTCATGAATATGCATATGCGAGGAAAATGCTACACCAAACAAACATCCATGGTGGGCTAGGGCACACACCTCTAAGCCTAGCTATTCAGGAGGTTGAGAGTGTTTCAAGGCCAGTCTCGGCAGAAACGGGTTGAAGAGACTCTATTTAAGAAACGACTAGCAGAGGCGGATGCCTATCTACTCTGGAGGCTGAGATCTGAGGATCGCGCTTCGAAGCCAGCCCAGGCAGAAAGGTCAAGAGACTCTTACCTTCAGTTAAACACAGAAAAAGCCAGAAGTGGCATTATGGCTCAAGTAGTAGAGTGCTAGCCTTGAGCAAAAAGGAGCTCAGGGACAGCACCCAGGCCCAGGGTTCAAGGCCCAGGGCTGGCAAAAGAAAACAAAAACAAAATACAATTAACCAGCATAAAACAGGTAGAGGTTTGGCTCAAGTGGCAGAGTGCCTGCCTAGCAAGTGTGAGGCTACGGGTTCAAATTCCCGCTGCTACCAAAATCAACCAATCAAACCATCAGTTAACCAACCAACTAAACAACAAAGAAAAACACCCTCTGTGGACAGAGACTGGTCTTCATAGCCAGGAGTGACCCCATGTGTTATGACAACACTGCTGTGTCTTTGTTGTTTATCCACCGCTTCTCTGGCTGGATGACGAGCTGGATGAGAACTGAAATTCCAGGGTTAACAAACCCTAGGCAACCATCAGGATTCAAATGCTTCATTTATGGTCAGCTCTTTCTAAAAAGACTACCCACATGGAAAAAGCCATTCTGGGAAGTGACCTTCAGTTCTGAATGAATGCAAGTCTCTTTCTTCTCTATATACTTGGGGTGATTGGCGACGCTGACTTGAGTATAAAGCTGGCTGTTCACGAGCTCATAATTCACCACATAAAGGCTGGTCAGCCTCAGGCTCCAAAGATCCTTTTCCAATAAGGCCCCACATGCTTGTACTTGGAGCCCATATGTAATTTCCCATCTGGCCTTCCAAATGTGTGAGTTGTGGCTGGCGCTATAGGGTTAGGGAGTCTGGGACTGGGCAAAGGCCTTCTACCAAGCTTGGGAAAGAGGAAGAACTAGGCTTCAGGTAAAGCTGGATGGCGTTGGTCTGCAATTCTTTGGCTTTGAAGGGCCATGTAGCAGCATAAGGTTCTCATGGAAGTGAGAAATATAATTTTGTTTCAGCACCAAATCAACATGTTTGATGTGGATTTAAAAAGTTGATAGAGAAGACACAATCAATGTTATTAGACATTAGTAGGTAGAAAGTACAAGCAGAATTTCTTTTCTTTAGAGGCTGCCTGACCTTTATTGATTACAAAACAAATGGCTCTCTGGGCGTTTCACAAGGCAGCTTGGATGGTGTCTAGCTCTGTCTGGAGGTATTTGAGTGTTAATCTTTCTCTCCTGTAAGGATCGGGGAGTCTTGCGAGAGTACTGGAGCCGTGCTAGCTCTGGGCTGACCAGTGGCTGGAGGGTGCTGGCGATGTGGCTAGCCCACACTGAGGTGTGGCATGACAGTACAAGACAGCAGATTTAGAAAAAGACACGATGGATTGAGTAGACACACAGAATGGAAAATATTTCACTACCATGTTCTTACATCGGACACATGTTCCAACAGTAATATTGGGTTACATAAAAATAGATTATTAAAACTACTTAACCTGGTTTTTAATTTCTTAAAATGTGGGCAGTAGAAAAATATTAGATGTATTGTACTTTTGTTGGACAGTGTTGGCCTAGACCCTTGTTCCAGGAAAGCACCCTTCTGCGGATCCACCAGGTGTGCATGCTGAGCTGCACAGGGTCTGACACTCACATGTGGATCACCAGCTCGGAGGGTCTTTGGGGAAAGTGGCAAGGAAGACTGTGAAGAAGGTCCTTCTTCATTCATTTGAAAGGCTTAACTCTTCTTATTCTATCTGAACTGCCAGGGCCACAGGAAATACCTCCAATTCTCTTAGAGAATCTCACGGGGTTTGGGGGTTTGCAGTAGGTCCTCATTGGGGTCAGATCCACAGGCCCCAGCTGGGGGCCAGGACCTGTCACCATCTACCAGCATTCCCCGGGACAAGCAGGGGTGGGCGATCACACATGCTCTCAATCCCTGATTTACCCAGCTGCTGATGGAGGAGGAAGCCCTCACCAACCAGGACCGTAGGGCTGTTTTCTAGGAACGCAACACAGTTTACGTTTCTTTTGCTCTTAATTTCTCAGTTAATACCAACATTAGTTTGGGGGCATAGCTGAGCCGTGGGGAGGAGGTGGGTAGGCCAATGCTGATCAAGACAAAGAAATGCCTTTGAGATGAAGAATTCCAAGGTAAGAACTATAATTCAACACTATCCAGAGACTTCCCACTCTTCATAGTGGTTTCGAAGCAATGCAGAGCAAACCAATTACTCCTTGGATTTAAAACTAGAATCATTTTGATATTTGTTCTCAGCACCGTAAAAGTTCCACTTCCCCAAGGCTGTTATTACAGGTGACATGCTAAGGAAGTCTGCCTCTCCCAGCTTGGAAGCCTACTTGATAGATGACACGATCATCGGAAAGCAAAGATCCTGCGGACAAGTGCTCACCAGGGATCCAAAGGGAATTGGGTTAAACGCTTCCCTTTACAGATGGGAATGTGGAGGCCCGCACGGGGTGGGGGGGGGTATGACTCCTCTCAGACCTCCGTCTCTTGGTTTAGAGTTCTCCTCACCCTGCCTTGCCTAACTTCTTTTCCATAGAGACTGGAATTCATCCCAGGAGGTCCTGGGATCTTAGGGAGATGTGATATTTTTGGAAAGTGGTGACAATTTCCCCTGCCTTGCTGTCCACTGAGAAACCGTCAAATAGGAGATCTTTAAAGGTGGGAAAAGCAGAGGAAACTGTGTTCCTTCTTGACTGGCATTCATCCCACATCCCAGTAGGCAGTGAGGGTTTACATCCCAACCAAACGCTATCTGAATAAGTGTCAGTGTCATGAGGTGGAAGAACACTCATCAAATATAAGAAAACAGCTCTGTGAGAAGAACTCAGGGTCACAGTTCATCCAGGCAGCTGCCCGGCCACCTCCAGCTGCTTAGGAAGCGAAGGCAATCCACCTCTGACTGTCCAGCATCACAGGCCACTGCCTTAGTCCTCTCCTCGCTGGGACAGTTGGGATTATTTCAAAATTGCCTGCGTTTCTGTCACAGTTACTGAAAAATAAAGATAAGAACCCGAAAACAGCTGCAAAGCACAGGCGGGTGTTAGGACTTCCTGGATAGCTCTTTGCCTGGCCTCAGTCAGTTGATGCAGCAAAGCGCCACACTGCTCTTTTGACTCACCCATCGCGCCTCATTCCTTCCTTGGTGTCTGGACTTTCTCAAGGACCCTGAGAGGTGACCCTCAAGGATTCCCCTACGTTCTTCAGTGGTCTGGTTGGGTTTATCAGAAGGAGTGGACATAAAGGGAGAGGGAGATGGGCTCAAGGACCGCTGCATCTTTCCCACCGTCTCTTGCAGACCCCACCATGGAGAGGCGGGACTGCTCTCCTGGTGGCATTCCCTTCCACGGGAAGAAGACACGGGGTTGGGTGTATAGTCAGGATACGACTTACAAAGTCTGGCAAGCCTGGCCTGATGGTGACTGGTGAGGTCAGAATTTTAGCCCAAGACTCTAACACGCAAAGAGCTGAAGTCTTCCACTCCAGCCCCCTTGGTGTGGTACAGTGGACTTGGCCAGATCCTGGCCGGTGGAAGCCGGGGTGGCCTGGCTGACAGTAGCGGGCAGTGGGCACCACAGACGTGGGACTTAGCGTTGGGACCTCTGGCTGCCAGGACTCTCCAGACTCCCTGAGGGTGGGTCTGGACTCTGCTGGGGAGCTGACCGCACACCGTGTTGGGGTGTTAGGCTCCTCTCGAAGCCACATGCACCTCACGTCAGCATGCTTCTCCACAGAGCTCCCCAGTAGAGCTGCGGTGAATTAAGGAAGGACAAAGGAGCTGGTGTCAACGACAACACAGTCTTTTAAAAGAAATTTCCAAGGAAATCACACACTCTTCCCACCCCCCACCCACAAAAAAACAATACAACCTGGAAGAATGGAAACAGAACGGAGAAACCCCGAAGGTTTCCTTCGGTCTCTGCTTTAGGAGCTTCGGATGAGTGTTTGTCTACAGGGCATGGGAGGGGAAAACTCAGCTTTCAACTTCCACGTTGCTGCCCATACCATGGACTGTTGCCAAGCTGGGAACACTCAATCCTGATGAAGAGACTTTGGATATTGCTTTCATTACCATCCTTGAGCGGAGAGGCCCCAGGGGCCGTAGGCCTGGTCCATGCCTCGGGGCCCCGAGCGGCCCCCGGGGCCTGGAAGGCTGTAGGCCTGGTCCATGCCTCGGGGCCCCGAGCGGCCCCCGGGGCCTGGAAGGCTGTAGGCCTGGTCCATGCCTCAGAGCACTTGACCTTCTATGCCCTCAGGTCCTGCTGTCTTTGTTTTCTACATTCACCATTTCAGGATTTCACCTCTTCGCAGTCTTGGTCAGTGGAAAGTTCTACATCAGAGAGTCCCACCTCCATGGCCATGATGAGAGAGATGTCTGAATCGCTGCTCACAGCTGGCTCTTGCTCACCTGGAAGAAGAGAGCAAATTCACACGGTGTATTTCCCTGCAAATCCTTCTCATGGCATTCCCATTAATGCCCAAGGGAGGGTTGCAGAAAAATCGGTTATGGTGTGTGTGAACCACATGTCACTCTATATTTCAAGATAAATTCTAAATGTGCAAACATTAAACGTAAAGACCAAAAAATAACCCTAGCAGAGTTCAAAGAAAATGTCATTGAGGTATATCTCTAAGTAGGAAAATATGTATTTGATATGAGGCCAGGGGAAAAAATTAAGGGAGTCATAAGATGGATAATTGTGTATAAAACCTATAAGAACATTAAATATTTAGAGTAATATTGCAAGACATATATCAGATTGAAGAGTTAGCAAAAAAAAAGTTAGGATGGCAGTCGTAAGATATCAAATACTTGTCATTAAGAAAGATAGGCAAGTACTATCATTACAAGATTCATAGAAGACTACAATATAAATAGAAGGCAAACAAAGAAGAGTTTTTTTATGCCTTTGTAGCCTTCAGTCTTCAAAAAAGATAAAGAGTTCCTTGAGATAAGTATGTTGGTACCTTACATACAGAATTATGGACTTTCCTTTCTTCTTTGGAGACATAGTATTGTACATGTTTACAGGGCATACATGGAAAACCAATTTCTCATACACCAGGAGCAATAACCAGGCCACACTAATCAATACATGTATATCAAGAGCAATAATCACACCACACTAGTCAATACACATACATTAGGAGCAATAATCAGACCACACTAATCAATACACATGCATTAGGAGCAGTAATCAGATCACACCAATGACATTTTCACCCCAGCAACATTAATCATTCTTATGCATTGGGAATTTCATACTTTCATTTCTTCACTCATTTTGAAAAAATATCCTGGACTGTTTTAACCAGTAGTTACATCCTGCCTCCACCCATCCTTCCTAGTCATTAGTGAATACTGTTCTGTTTTAATCTTCTGCAAGGGAGACATTAGAGCTGTGAAAGTTTTACCTAGTGATTTCATGTCCAGAATGTATTATAAAGAACTAATTAGAGATGCAGAAACAGTCATTTAAGCTGGGCATGGTGGCGTATTCCTGTAATTCCAGAGGTTAGAAAGCTGAGATAGGAGGATCATGAGTTCGAGGCCAGCCTGAACTATTTTGTAAGACTTTCTCTCAAAGAACAAATTCATTTGAGCATTATTCATAGTAACTAAACTTCACAAGAAACTTAAAAAGCCCAACAACAGACAGTTCTGTATAAATGATGTTACTTCTTAAAGGAAGGATTTGTAGTTACACAAACAAACAATGTTTTTTTTTGTTGTTGTTGTTGGTTGTGGAACTTGAACTCTGGGCTTGGGTACTGCACTCTTCAGCTCAAGGCGAGTGCTCTACCACTTGAGCCACAGCGCCATTTCTGGTTTTCTAGTGGTATACTGGAGATAAGAGTCTCATGGACTTCCCTGCCCGGGTTGGCTTTGAACCATGATCCTCAGATCTCAGCCTCCTGAGTAGCTAGGATTACAGGTGTGAGCCACCGGCCCTGGCACAAACAATGTTTTTTCTTCTCTCTCCATCTTTCTCTCTGCCTCTCTCTGTTTCTCTTTCTCTCTCTCTCTGTTTCTCTCTCTCTCTCTCTGGAATTGTTGAGGCTTGAACTCTGGGCCTAAGTGCTATCTCTGAGCTCCATTTGCTCAAGGCTAGCACTCTACCACTTGAGCTACAGCACTACTTCTGGCTTTTCCTGAGACTTAATTGGAGATAAGAGTCTTGAAGACTTTGCTGCCCAGGCTGGCTTTAAATCAAGATCCTCAGATATCAGCCTCCCGAGTAGCTAGGATTATAGGTGTAAGCCACTGGCACCTGGTTTACAAACAATATTTTCATATGGAAATATAGAATTATGAATTCATATTCGTTTTCTTAAAAAAGCCCTTTTCATCACATTTTCCAAGTATTCTACAAAAAATATACATTATACATTCACCTATGTATATTTACTGGCTAGGTGTGGTGGCATACTCCTGTGACCCCAGCACTCACAAAGCTAAGGCAGAGGATAGAGCATTCAAGGCCCCCCTTCTAGTCTACATACTGAGAACCTGTCTCAACAACACCAACCAACCTATCAACCAACATCCAAACAAACCAACAACTCTCACCCCTCTCCCCTCAAAATACTACACAAAACCCTACACATGGCAAAAGCAACCAATCAGCCAAACAAGACACAAGGCAATGGATACACAATGGATTCACAAGGGATAGGAGGGGGCGGGAAAGGGAAGGGCTATGCAGCCACAGGCTGCGTCTAGAATGTGTCTTATCCAATGCGATGTCTACACTCAATCGCAAAGGATGGTCTGTATGTTTGCCAGATGAGTAAGATGACGAACCTTTCAAGAAATGGTAACAGCATGCACAGATGGCTGCAGATGCCCGCCTTGGAGAGGCAGGTATCAGATGATGAAGTGAGGCTGGGATGCAGAGACAAGCTAGGGAGTGTGGGCAGCCGGGAAGTGCTGCCTGCAGAGAGACAGCCCTAAACTGCAAAGCTCTCGTACATTCTGTTACAAAGCATGCAATTAAAACTGTCTAAAAATGTCTAAGAAATAAAGAGTAACGACGGTTATAATACTCTCCCTCTGATAATCACTGATGTACGATATATACATACATATACACATACATATATATGCATATATGTGATATATATGTCCATATAATATATATATTCATATATGATATATATATATATATATGTATCGTTCAGGCACAGTTAAGGAAGATTTATGAGTTTCACGAAGAGTAATAAATTCCTAAGATGTTTTGATGGGAAAAAATAAAAAGAACTCATAAAGAGGTACAGCCTAAAGAATCAGAAATGGGGCGATTTACAAGGAAACACCAACATCAAGACTGAGCTCTGTTTCCAGGATCAATAAGTGTACAAAGTTCACAGGGATCCTTCATTTCAAGGACAGAATGCGACTGGAGCAGTTCTGGGAGGAAAAGGAATGCAGTACTTGAAAATGATGGCATTCAACAAATACTCAATGGAACTAGGTCTTTAGAAAAAATGTGAAACTGGATGTGTGACTATTTATCTATCTATCTATCTCTGTTGGTATTATTAATCTCATTTTACAGATGAGAAGTAATTGACATACTTTCTTCTCTTCATTTTCATCCACTGTAAAGCCACTGGGAGATTTTAAACAGGGAGCAGTCTGATCTCCTTAATATTTTAAGATATCACTCTGGCTGCAGCTGGCCAATAGGCAGAAGTTCAACAAGGACACGGTTACAGAATCACCCATGAACGTGCTGGCTTCCTGAGACCACAGGAGTGGAGATGAGCAGAGAAACTGGAGAATGATTTGCAGAGATTATTCTATAGCATGGACTACTCACTCACAGTATCAACAAGAGAGTAGAAATCAGAGAATAACTGTGTTTCTGGATGGAGCCAAGAGGAGAGGACGAAGGGGAGAGTGTTCTGGAGACAGGTCTAGAGCTTAGTTTTGCACATGCTGTGAGTGTGAGGTGCTCGTGAGGCCTCAAGGGAGAGGTGGAGGTGGCCGCTAGGTGCAGGTGCCTGGAGCGCAGAGGAGAGGCCCCGGCCATCTGTACATTCCCAAGGGTTCTGCACAGAGAAGGTTTTCAGGCCATGGGGCCGGATGAGGCTCCTATGGAGGACTATGAAGTAAGAAGATAACAACAGCGGGAGATCTCCAAGCATCCAAAACCTACAGCCAGAAACTCAAACTCGTGTTCTCTGAGATGTTTTGTTTGGCCCACAGCGTGTTTTCTTAAACATGCGAATTAGTTGCCAATATTTAAAAGTCAGTACATTTCAGATACAAACATATACTTGAAATTTACCCTGGAAGAAGGGAGAGCTGGCAGTGTGTGCCTGGTTCCTGGAGGAAGGCGCTGGTGGGGACGGAGCGGCCTCCTTGGGAGAAGGCGCTCTGGGTCACCACCGTCATCGTCCATGATGTCACCTCCTAGACCGCATGGAAAGCGAAGCGTGACGCCTTAAGTTCAGGGGACTAACGGGGAAGGTAGACAGAGCCGAGGACAGCAATCCTCACGGAAGACTCAAAAGGATGGTAAAAGAAAAATCAGCAGAAGGTCATGCCATGCCTTTCCTTACTGTATCTTAAATACGCTCATGTGGCTTTTTAATCTCAGTTACAGGCCACCGATCCATAGCCAAAGAAATGGGATACTGTTGAGTACTCCTGAATTATTGGGAGGTCATTCAGAAGTCTGATCTGAAGACATCACATGTTCTAAGATCTCTGATCAGCTTCCGGAGAGCCTGACTGGATGGAGCTGGGTGACCCACTTTGCTGACCCATAACTACCACTGTAATGTGTTTCCCCACTTAGTTCTGAGTAAAACCCATCATAGCCCATCTGTGGCTAACCAGCAAGTCACAGTGGTTGGATTTATTAATTCCATTTAATCCATAAATTATTAAGTTTTGGTTTCTCGCTTCCTTCTTTAGTACATACAAGGATACCCAAGGGTCCCAGGTTTCTCCTGGTGAGCAAGAGGATGATGTCTGGGGTTCTACCGTGGCCTTGACTCGATCATCTCTCAACCCTGGGCCAGAAGACAGCGGAAGTCCTTCCCACCTTGGGGGAAGATCCGCTGTGTCCAGTGCTGGTACTGTGGCTGGTTCTGTCTCTAGCAAAGTCATACTGAACACAATCGCCATTGTCACAGAGTTGGGAGGTAGGGACCAGGTCTCAAGAGGCTCCATTCTCATGAACGGCTCCATGCCATTATTATGGGAGTCGGTTCTGATAAAAAGGATGCGTGACCTGATTTTCCTTCACTGTCTGGGTCAGACCCATTGGCTGCTCACCAAGGTAGTGAGTTGAAAACAAAGTAGGCACCAGTGGTTCATGATAAGCTTACAGATGAGCCTGACTACCCAAGAGGCCAGCGCACTGTGAAAGTTGTATTACATTAACCATAATAAAG